AATGGGCACATCAAAGGCATTCTTCGTTTCTGTTACAGAATGGTCACCTGATTTAAAACGAAGTCATTGGGAACTCCCTGAGGAAAAGATGGGTTTTTTTTTTTTCCCAACAAACGGATCAATTAAATATCCATATAGAAAAATATAATCCTGATCTTTACCTTCTATTTTACACAGACACACAGACACACACACACACACACACACACAGTAACCCAAAATGGATTATAGATTTACATGTAGAAACCAAAACAATAAAGTGTCTAGAACTGTGCTATCTGATATAGCAGCAACTAGCTTCATAAGGCTATTTAAATAAAACTAAAAAATTCAGTTCCTCATATTAGCCACATTTTAAGGGCTCAATAGCCACATGGGGCTAGTGGCTACCATTTTGGGCAGTGTAGACACAAAACATTTCCATTATCACATAAAGTTCTATCATACAGCTATATTCTAGAAGAAAATAAAAAAATTTCTTCGTGACTAAGACAAAGATTTGTTAGACAAAACACCAAGCATACTAACCATAAAAGATTGAAAAGTTGGACTTCATTAAATTGAGAATTTCTATTTATCAAAAGATAGTATTAGAAGAGTGAAAAGCCACACATTGAGTGAAGTTATTTGCAAAATGTGTATCTGACAAAAGACCCATATTAATAATACATAAAGGATTCCCACAAATCAATAAGAAAAAGACAGATGCCCTACCCCCCAAATAGGCAGAAGAGGCACTTCACAAAAGAAGATATCCAAATGGTAAATAAATATATCAAAGGTGCTCAAGAGAAATGAGAAGTCAAACTCTAACACAGTACTCTACACACCCACCAGCATAGCTAAGTTTAAATTAACACACAAGATCAAGTATAGATGGAGATGTGGAATAAGTTGGAGTTCTTTTGGGAGTGTAAATTGGTACAACCATTTTCAGAAACCATTTGGCCGCATCTAAAACTACATATATGCCAACTGTATGACCCAGAAATTCCACTTTTGGTTATATACCCAAAAGAGATATATGTTTATGTCCAGCAAAAGATTTGTATAAAAATGTTCATAATAGCTGCAAATAATTTCATTATCTCAATAGTGAAATGGATAAAAAATAATAAGATATGGTATATTCATATAATGGAATATTACCCAGCAAACAAATAGATGTACAAACAAACATGGAAAAATATGAATTGATTTCACAGACAATATGTTGAATGGGAGTACCTGTCATATGGCTCTACTTATATAAAGTTTCAAAAAGCAGACAAAATTAATCTATGATTTAGAAATTAAAGTAATTATTATCCTTGAATATAACTACTGGGAGAGGCCATAAGGAGTCTTCTGAGATGTTAGAAATGTTCTATATGTTGTTTTTTGTGGTATATCTAGCTATACATTTAAGAACTATATATGCTAGTGCTCATAAATAATTCCAATTAAAAACATATAGACATATAAATTTGAATGTATATATATGTGTATCTGTACGTGTACCTATATGTTTATGTATGTGTATACAGTTTATGGGAAGGGTTCTGCAGGAAACAAAATGGGCATATAATAATGGGAGGGACAATGTCTCCTTAAAGAAGGTGGTCAGAAAAGGCTTTTCTAAGGAGGTGGCTTTAAGCCGAGCTCTAAATCTTGAAGTATTTTCCAGAGCACAGAATCAGCAAAAGGAAGCACAAATGCAAAGACACTGAAGCAAGTAAGACCCAGGAATGGTAGAGGCCCTGATGGAAAGCCAGTGGGGCTGGAGCAAGCCCCAGGATGGACGCAGTCAGGGGCCAGCCACATCATCCTAGAGTTAGATGCTATGGTAAGGAGCTCAGACTTATTTAAAGAACCGTGAAAAAGGGGCACCTTGGTGGCTCAGTCAGTTAAGCCTCCAACTTTTGACCTCAGCTCAGGTCTTGAGCTCAAGCCCTGCATTAGGCTCCATGCTGGGCGGAGCCTAAAAAAAAAAAAAAAGGAACCATGAAGAATCACTGAATCACTGAAGAGTTTTAAGCAGGGGAGAAATAAGACTCGATTTATGTTTGTTTGTTTGTTTAAATCATCCTGGCTTAAAAATTGGAAGAAGGCCTGGGAAGAAGCAAGGAGATTAATTAGAAGGTAATTGCTCTTGCGTGTAGGCCATAGAACAGCCACATCATATAACGGGGGTGGGGGGTGGGCCGTGGGCCGTGAGATGGGCACAATTTATATGCAGTACAATAGAAATGAGGCTATTAAGAATTTAGCAAGGTTTGGCCTTGTCAAGCTGTCATGATTGGCATGTCCTTCTGAGAGAACTGGACAGATGCCAATCACGTTTGGGAAGTAGCTTTAACAGAATTCACTAATTCTCTGGATATGGGAGGTGAGAAAGGCAGCCATCTAAAATGGCTCCCAATAATCCTGGCCTTCTGGTATTCCAGCCCTTGTGTAATCCTTTCCTCTTGAGTATGAATGAGATATAATGACTTGCTTCTAATTAAAAGAACGCGATAAAGTGACAGAATGTCATTGCTGAAATTAGGTTATAAAAGACTGACTTTTTTTGTATTGTTGCATCCTCTCTCTGACTCTTCTTACAGACTTACGCTGATAGAGAGGGCCACCTGGTGAGGAACTGGGAGCATCCCCTGGTCAACAGGCAGCAAGGCACAGAGACTCTTAATCCAATGACCTGAAAGAAACTGCATTCTTCTAGCAGTCATGTAAATGAGCTTGGAAGTGGATCCTTCCCCATTTGAGTCTTCAGATGAGATCACAGCACTGAACCAACAATTTATTGCAGCCTTGTGAGAGCCTGGGAAGCAGAGGACCCAGCTAAGCTGTTCTGGAATGTTCACAGAAGTGATGAGATTGTATGTGGATTATCTTATGCCACCAAATTTTGGAGTAGTTTGTTATGCATAACAGATAATAATAACTAATAATAGATAACAGATAACTAATGCAGGAGGTGAGGAAAATAGGGAAATCAAGGATGATTCCCACCTAATTTCTGGCTTGAGCAACTAAGTGTCTAGAGATACCAAAACTCCAGAAGGAGAAATAGATTGCAGGGGCGAAGGGGGGGCATATAAACAAGCATTTTGGGTATTAAACATCCAAGTGAGAAATAGGGTGATCCATAGATATGGTATCTAGAACCCCTTTCGCATGGTGTCAGAAGTTGTATTTTTCCACCAATCAGAGCAGTGAAATCCAAAACTTGGGTTTAGATTCAGAGGAAGGAGATACGTCAGTGGAGTTTAAGAAAATGAAGTTCTCTGTTTGGTCAAGGCTAACTGTCCCAATTGGGTGTTTGAAGCTAAAACCGTCGGCTACTACTTCAGTGTTATTGTGCCTTACTTTACCCTTGTTGCACGTGTCCTCCTTGAGGAAGAGGAGAGGTGGCAAGACAGAGTTTGGGCATTTCTGTTTCACTGGGCCACAGAACAACACGATGGTGGTCATTTCTAAACCTGAAAGGCCTAAGCGTCAAGCCTTAGCATAGATCAGCATTTCTCAACAGGACCCCCATGTTGGCACTTGGCCCAGGTTGATTCTTGTCATGCTAGAATCTCCTAAGCACTGTAAGAGGTTTAGTGTATGTCAATAGAACCTGCCAGTCATTGTGACAACCCAAAACATCCTTCTCACAACTCCAGATACCTCCTACTGCGATGGTACCTTATCCTCATTGAGAACCAATGGACTGTTTGTGCTCACTTGACTGCAACATTTCTCAGCCCACGCTTTGACCTTACACGCTGCCATTTCCGGGTGCCTGCTTGGCAAGAGGTTCCAGGATATTAAACATTCTCATTCCTAGAATTTTAAATATAATGGGTTCCCAAATAATTAAAATATAATGTTAATATAAGAATGATTTGGAATATAATTGAATTTTAGATGATATATAAGTCAACATGGAATCTGGTAGAAACTCAGAGACACTGTTCTAACTAGTCTTCTTTGTGCTGTGGCCATGCTGAAAAGCTAGTTAATAGAACGCTGGCGGTCAGTTCATAGTGAATAATAACAGCCTGTGTCCTAATGCTTCAGATTTGTGACTAGAGATGCCCTGAAAGAATATTTTGAAAATTCAGAACCTTGATCTGGTGATTGTAGTTGTTAGGGTCTCAGAAGACTCTATTCCTGCAATGGGTGGTAAAGTTGTTACTCTATCTCAAATCTACATCAGAAAGGAAAAAAAAAAACTTTTGCATTTATGTATTTGTGATAAGCTATGTTTTATTGTACTGATTATCACAGAGCTTTTATTGCATGCCTATTGTGAGCCAGGCGCTGTGCTAGTTTCTTTGAATGCATTTTTTTAAATTTAATGCCCACAACAATGCCTCTGTGGAGAGCAGTATTGTCATTCTCATTTTGCATGTAAAGACATGAAGTCTCAAATTGTGCAACTTGCTCAGGATCACTAAGCCAGGAGGGGACAGAGTCAGGTTTTAAACCCAGACTTGGAAATGTATCCTATAACTTCTTTAGGCTACGTGGATCTGGCGTGATTTTGTCCAACAGATATCCACCAGGTGCCAGGGCCTGCACTGGGAAAACAGAACAGAGATGCTCTTGCCTGACTGGATGTATAGACGGATGCACGCGTTTGTGGAAAGATGGATAAAAATAAACGATGGGGAAATGCATAGAGTAATGAGCTGAAGAGCGGGTGGAATGGGAGGGTAAGTGAATGAGTGACCGGATGAGGTCACCGATGAAACGGAATGGTATGGGAGGGCATGAATGAATGGATGAACAGGTGGATGGAAGGATGAATGCATGAATGAGGAAGAGGATTTGAGGCTGCCCTCCCTGAAGCCAAAGCGCCGGGCTCCGGGCGGCTGGCGGGTGGGCAGGCGGGCGGCTACTCCACACAGTACGGTAGGCGCGGGCCGCTCCTCCTCGAGCCCGGCTCGCGCCTCCTCCCCTCCCGCCCCCTCCTCCTCCTTCTCCTCCTCCTCCGTCGCCCGCCCGCCCGCCGGCCGCGCGGACCCCAGTCCCCGGCGGGCGACGGCGGAGGAGGCGGCCGCCCGCGCTGTTGCGCTCGCCCCGCCGCCGCCGCCGCCCGGCGAGCCGCGATGCGCAGAGGGGCCGCGCCGCCCCGGGGCCGCCGCCGCCGCGCCGCACCATGAAGCTCCGCAGCAAGGCGGCGGCGCTGCTCCTGCTCGCGCTGGCCGCGCTGCTGCTCGCGCTGCTGTCCCTGCGCGCCGGCCGCGCCGAGCCCCCCGCGCCGCCCGCGCGCCCCGCGTCCGTCCCGCAGCGCCACCCCGCGCCGGCCCCCCAGCGCCTCCCGGGCCCGGGCGCCCTCCCGGGGGCCCGCCCGCGCGCTCGGCGGCGCCGGCCCCCGCGTCCGCGCCCCCGTGCCGGCCGCCGGGGCGCCGCGAGCCTGGAGAAGTTGGCGAGGTGAGTCGTGGCAGCCCCAGAATCCCTTCTGGGGACCCGTGTCTCGCTCCCTCCGCCCGGGCCAAGTCCAGGGGAGGCTTTGGGCTGGAGGGACAGACTCCAAGTTCACCCGCGGGCTGCCCAGTTGTATTTTTTTGCCCCGCTAGAGCTGCAGAACCACCTTTGTGGAGTCCAGTTGACAGCGCAGTGCTGATAATCATGTACATTTTTGAAAGAGAAGTGCCAGAGAGGGTCGTTTATATATTACTTTTTTTTTTTCAAACAGGGTAAGACGTTTGTTTGCGTTCTTGCAAACCTGCGCCCTTTGTTTACTTTTTCAAAAGCCATCACGATGCAAGAATGCTTTATCTAATTCTCATGTTTCACAGGAGAATTTTTACCAAAAACTTAGATGTGATTGAGTTGGAAAAGTTAGCTGTTTACCAAAGACTAGCTGCCTCTCCTTGAACCTTGAATCCCCCTGTGCTTAGAACAGAAGGGGCCCTCGACCTAGGTTTATTTAAAAAAAAAAAAGAAGAAGTTTTCTTCCTGGAAGGAGCGATGCGTGGCACGGGAAGACAGAGTGACGGTTTCCCAGTCCCTCATTCTGTTTCAGACTCAAGTACGGTCAAAGCGTCTTACAAGGAAAACATCTTAACCTTTGACATGGTGTTTGATACTCTTTCTCTGCTCCGAGCTTAAGCCGCCGCAGCTTTTCATCAGAGCGTTTTATCTTTGTCCTTAGGGTTGCTGGACCGCGCTCAGGTTAGGGATTTGCGTTCATTTCCTTTGTCGCGGAGAGCTTTTTAACAGTCCCCTGGCCTTGCCGCGGGTCTGTTTCCTCTGCCCTCGGGAGCTGGTGATGTTTTAACTGCTCTTGCTGCGCCTGCCCGTGCTGGGCTCCTTCATGCCTTGAAAAGAGTTGAAGAATTCTTTTTGGCCCTAATGACTGAATCTGTTTTGGCGCTTTTACTGTAACTAAGAGAAAAGACACGAAACCTCAAGAAGTAGCTGTGTCAGCTTTTGGTTCTCTTCTGCCTCATAATAAATGTACAGCTGGGTACTGACAAGTTTGAGAGGGGAAAAAAAGCCCCGATGATCCATAGAGTCACTTTTAAGTACTTAGAACAATTTACAAGCTCTTGTGAATGTACACGTACTTTAAAATCAGGGTATTTCTGTTAGGAGCTGGGGTTTCTTATAATGTGTTACCCTGACGTGCAACTGCAAGTTTACTAGGATTTGTAAGTGGAAGGGACAGCTCGTAAGACAGTGACAACTGACACCATTTAACGTAGCTAACCTTTCGCCAGGCATCCGGCTAACAGCAGTCCACAAAAGCAGTCCTTGTTAACACTTCCGGTACATATTATTCACCGTGTCATCTGCACCGTAGCCCTATGATAGTGGCTCCCAAACGAGCGGCAACAGTGTCACCTGAGGCCTCGTTAGAAATGCAGATTCTCAGGCCCCGCCCCCGCCCCACGAAATCAGAATCTGTGGGGGTGAGGTCCCTAATCTGTGTTCTAGCAAGGCCTCCCATTGTTTCTAACACACACCAGCGTTTGAGCGCCTGCTCTATGAAGTATGCACTAGTTATTATTACTCCCATTTCCCAGTTAAGGAAAATAACGCACGAGGTTTAGCCATTTGTCCGAGATTCATAGATCCCTTGTGGTAGATAAGGGTAAACATTCAGGGGCTCTGGGCCCGGTCGACTCTTACCTGCTGATGTCATAACACTAACTAGTCTTGCCTGCATTTCATAGTTTTTCTGAGATTTTTCTAAAGAAACATCATAGATTTTTACAACGGTCTCATTCTTCAAGGTGTTGGGAACATGGGGCAGCATCTTCTTGTCTCTATCTGAACAAATCGGCTCTGCCTAAGAAGAGATCATGAGCAGAATCCAAATGGATGTTTTAGTGAAGGACTATTTCCATGAGCAACAGTACCTCCTGAAGCCGTTTTTCTTTTGAACATATCTCTTATCATGGAAGTCATGGCCAGCACCATAGGAATATAGAGCAAAATTTTAAAAACTCGGAAAAGGGCGAACAACAAAAAAGCCACAGGAAGTCTCAAGCTCAGATGCATGAAGATGAAAGTCTAGTGTCCTCTGGAGAAGTTGACATTTTCTGGGACTTAATAATTTTTTTTTTTTTTTTTTTTTTTTTTACTACCTGGACAGAAATGGCGGCAGAAGATTCTGAGACAATGAGGGAGCGGGAGGGAAGACCTCTGCATGGACTCCTTTATTGCTCTTCTAATCCTGCTTGGGTTAAATTTTTGTGGTTTAGGAGGAATTTCATTTTAGGGAGGGAAAAGAAAGCCTCGTGTTTTCAGAAATCGGGTGCTTTAATCTCGTTACGTGGCTAGAATCCAGAAGAGATGAAGGGTACGTGATCTCATTTTTCGGGCCCGGGGAGGAGTCTGCAGCAAGCGTGGAGTTGGATGGGATACAGTCCACCACCTGCTGACCATCCGTGGCCCGGGCTGCCTTGCCTCCCCCGGGGTACTGCTGTAAGTGAAGTCTTGCCACGTCAGCGCAGGAAACATAGCCCTCTCCTTCCACATCTTGTTTTCATTTCAGAGAAGTTTCCAGGGACTTGCCTAGTTAGCAGACAGACCCTACAATTTTATAACTAGTCATTTGTATGCAATCTGCCCTGTGGTGGCCTCTCCTCTCCATAAATATAAAACCCAGAGGTAAGGTCTGAGCTTTTAGGTCCGGGGTGGGATCTGGAAACGGACACCACAATCTAAGTGTCCGTTCCAAGTGCACAAGAGAAATGAAATCTTTCTTTTATTTTGGGTTTATTGGTGATTTACACCTGGCTGACTTCCAGAGAGAATTTGAGATGACTTTCAGTAAAAAACATATATAATAAGGCCATTGAAATCATCCTAAAAAAGGAAAAGTCATAAAGGGGAGGAGGAAATAAGCACTGTTTGTCAAAAACTGAGCCACTATTGTTATGAGGATTAAGTATTAAATTTAGCTCTAAGCTTCCTGGCAGCCATGTCAAAAAGGGAATCATGATAGGCTGCCTTATTTTCACTGAATGATAAGAGGAAAAGTTGATCAAGAGGGGATGACTTGGTTTTCATGGAAATGAATTCTAAAAAGAATTTTACTGGAGAGTAAACTTTAAAAGCCTGTCTCTGCAACTTGCTTCTGAAAACTCCTCTTTGAGCCTATGTGTGGAAAGGCAGTTGAATATAACTGCTATCAGTGCAATGTGAAAAGAATTTGGCATCTGGAGGCCAGAAAATTGGGTTCTAATCCCAAGCCATTTCACCTTAATTTCCTCATCTGTAAACTGAGCAAATCAATCGAAAAGTTTTCCAAGATCTCTTCCAGCTCTGACATTTGATGATCCTGTAATGAGATCATCCAATTTAGCTGTAAAATCCCAACAATGACTATTGCTTAGCCCTTTGTGCTGTCTCTTGCAAAATCGGTTTCTCATTTATTGGCTCTAGCCTAGAACTTACTGATTACTCAATCTCAACCCTCTCCTGAACTTTATTCTTTTTCTTTTTGCATTGGCCTGGGTATTGCTGTTTTCTCTTAAAATATGGTTTCTAAGGGAGACTTAGGCTACCTCTGAGCTCTGTGGAGGTCCTCTGCCATTTTATTCCACAGTCATTCAGCAAATGTTTATTGCACATATATTCTGGACCAGGCACTCATTGTACAGTGGTGAAAGGGGTTGTTGCCCTCCCAGAATTTGGGAGAGGTGGGGGCGGGGAGACAATAGAGAAACACATTTACACTTGGCAGCCTCCGCAGCTGTTCCAATGAGAGGAAGCGTGTTTACTCGCTCCTCAAGAGACACCATTTCCTGCAGTTCCCTTTGGTATCTGAGATAAGTCTTCTCAGAGGGTTCAAGCCTGAATAAAGGTCTCACTTAAGAGGGATGGTGTTATATAGCAAAATGCCAACTCTGCAGTGATCCTATAATTAGCTGGTAGCCCTAGAGCACATTAAAGGTCTCCAGAACTTAGGTTCCATCTCTGATATTATGTACTCTGAGTCTTGATTCTATTCACATTCATTTTTGTTGATGGGTCCATGGTTCCGTCTTTTATTGATCAGCAAGTCATATTGGCTCTATGTCAAAATATATCCCTGGGCGCCTGGGTGGCGCAGTCGGTTAAGCACTTGACTCTTGGTTTCAGCTCAGGTCATGATCTCAAGTCTCTTTAGATCAAGCCCCACGTCGGGCTCCCTGCTCAGCAAGGAATCTGCTTGAGATTCTCTCTCCCTCTCTCCCTCCTGCTTGTGCTCTCTCTAAAATAAATAAGTGAATCTTTAAAAATAAGAATATATATATCTCCCCACTTCCATGCTTACCACTGTCTCCTAAACACCACCTTTTACGCGTGAACCCCCACAGTAGCACAAGATCTGGTTTGCATGCCTCCACCCTAGCGCCCTCTACAGTCCATTTCCCATACAGCTGCTGGAATAATGTGAGCTCTGTAGACCACACTGGGTCTTTGCTGATGAAAGCCTCCAGTGACGGACTTCGCGTCACAATGAGAAGAAAATTCAGTTTCTTAGTCTGGCCTTCAAGCTTTGATCGCAGCTCCGTGTAGCTCTCTGACCTTGTCTCCTACCACTGTGCTTCAGCTGCACTAGCCTTCAAGTATGCTGAACTCATTCCCACCTCAGCACTTTTTACTTGTTCCTTGTGCTAGAATGTTCTTTGCTCACATCCTTGCGTGGCTAATACCCTTGCTTCTTTCAGGACTATGCTTTCAGGTTTTCTTCTCAAAAGGGTCCTCCCAGCTGCTCTAGAAAAAAGGACCTTCCCCATCATTCTCTAGTCCCTTACCCTGGTTAGTGCTTTTTTTTTTTTTTTTGTAGCACTGGTTATTATATGAACATTGCATTTTATTTATTCCTCTCCTCCAATGTATACTTCATGTCTTATTCATCACTCTACCACTGGCACCTAGAACAGAGATGGTCTCATAGTAGGTACCTAATACATATTTGTCAAATCTAATGA